CTTACTTATAACTTTTAAACGTTCTAAATTTCAATAATAAGTACATCATTGTATTCTATAATTTTTATACAGTATTATATATATTATATTTTTATACTATTTTAATATTTCATTTAATTTTTTTTTCTAAATTCTGAAATATAAATATTTAACTAAATTGTTTTGTTTAAAATAAGACAAAATTGTTCATTATATATATTGTTCAATATATATTTTTTAATATTAATGCTAATAGTGAAAAAAATATTTTGAAATATTAAGATGTTTAAATTATGTTAAGATAAATTAAAATAAGTAAATAAAAATAACTTTTTTAATTAATTTCTAAATACTAAAAACAAAAACAATAATTTTTTTTATATAAAAAACTAATTTTATATGATTCTTTCTTTTATGTTATCTAGGATTTTTATCTTTTATCTTTTATTTTTTTGTTAGAGTAAAAGATATTCTGCTTTATCCTACTCTCCCTTATATTAGCGCTTTTGAAAATAATTAATTTTCTCTCTCCTTCTTTTTTATCATACATTCATACATACATATTCGCATACATACATATTTTCTCTCTATCTCTGTCTTTCCCTCTTTTTCCATTTTTCATGCAATTATTACCATATCAAAATCATGCAAAAATGAAATGCGGTTGTACTCATTGGAAAAAGTAGTTCTTAATGTCATCTCGCACAGATTTTTGCTTGATAAGATGATATAAATTGACAAATGATTAAAATCAAAGTTTTATCAAGAATCTTTTGAAAATTCTATGTATATTTAGAATTTATCGATATTTCCAATTTCTTTTGTGAATTTATATTGATCGTTTCTCTTTTTTAAAGGTGAGAATTCTCAGATTTTTATATCAAATTGCAAATCGAACATTTGAAAATATGTTTTCTGTGCAAGATAATTTTTCCTTTCATAATACAATCCTCTTTTATATATCTTGGATTATTAATAACCTCTTTTTAGAAGAATTTTTGTAAATTCGGAGAATACTGTATTGATCCCGTTTACGCGTTTCTATAACAGTCTTGAACGACAGAGACGAAAGTTCAAGGTTTTTCTTTTAACTATTTCACGTTGACTTTATAATATCCCTCAATATTGTTTTTTTCATTGCTCCCTACTGATTACTAAAAATTATATATATTTTTATTACTTTAATTTTATCTTAAATTTTAAAATAATATTCATTTTTCTCAACATTGATACAATGGAATCAAATTCATGGATATTAAAATCAATTTTATTTTAAAATTATTTGATTATTGATTATTACAAAATATTTTGTAATTTTTTTAATTAATTAATAAATTATTGCATTGAGAAAGTAGAACATAAGAAAAGAAAGAAAATATATATACTGCTATATAAAAGTCTCCTTCTCTATAAATATAAAATATAAAAAGTTATTTATTAATCGATCCCACCATATCAATTGAGATTTAGAAGGGATATTATAAACCATGTCAACGTCGACTCATATTCCGCATCAAGTATTCGAGATTATCAAGTTTTACTTAAAATCTAAAAATAGTAGGGAAAATTAATTCGAATTAATTCGAATTCAAAGATTTTCCCCTACCAGTTAAACACTTCATCATTAATAATTAATTAGCAATAAGATAGCGAAATACAATATTTCAAGAAATAACAAACTTTCCTATAAAATGTTCGAAAAATTGAGCTGTGTGAGAAAATTTGGCAAGAAACTCTGTCATGTGTTTTGCGGAAATTGCGGACAAAGTCGAAAAGAAAAACCTTTTTTTTTTTACTGACTAGGATATTTTTCTTTTTATAAATTCAAGGAAACGAAATACGCACACGCACACATTCTCTCTTTCTGTCTGTCTCTCTCTCTCTCTCTCTCTCTCTGTTTCTATTTCGTTTCCGGTTTCGTTCGTCAATTTGATCTTAAGATTATAATCAATTAACAGCTAAATCTATGTATCGCTATATTCTAAAATGCGCTATGATCGCTCCATTTTCTTTTCACTTTAATAAATATTACAACTATGTACAATGATCAAACGTGTTTTACCTAATCATGCTTTTTCTACCTACACCGTTTCCATGCTCGTTGTAAATAATGAACATTAAATCATATTCTCTCGTCTTTCTAAACATTTTTAATTTTGTGAAGACAATAATAAACGAATAATAAAAAATTTCTTTAGCTATAGCGCCTCTTTCTTTCATTGTTCTTCTTCATTTCCTTTAAAAAAAAAAAAAAAAAAAAAAAAAAAATTAAAAAAACGAAAACGGTAGAGGAGAACGATATTATTTCTGTGTAAAATTTGTAACACCTAAATTCAAGTTATATCACACATACATCTTATTTCTTCTTTTTAATGTTTTTTTTTCTTTTTTTGTTCATTGTCACATTTCCTCGACAATCTTACACTTATTAATATTATTCCCTATTTACATACTTTTTTCGCTGAATAGGATGCGGAATATAAAGCCGTCCGCTGGTTCGTTGCAGATATTTCATAAACTCGTTTCGAACCCCTTCCATTGAGAATACATATAATCGTGATAGGAAGACTTTGCGCTCCGCATCTATAATTCAATCTCGATTTTTTCTTTTTTCTATTCGGCTGAAAAAACATCGATTACAAAAACTTCTTTGAGACTGATGAGAATGCCACTTATGGAATAATAATATTCTTCTTTAAAGATAAAAAAAATCTTAAATATTTGAATACTATATAGGGAAAAGATTGTTTCTAAATTAATTTTAAACAATAATAAATTTATCTTAATTATCTTGATAAATTATTTTTTCAAATTTTGAACATTTAAATTGTCATTATATTAATTGGAATTCTCATCAATCTATCCTTCGAGTATACCATAAAAAGGGGCTGATTCTATCAACACCCGAAGGATACATATACGAAATGCATTTTAGATACTCAATATTGATACTTCAGACGATCCTAGAATCTTTGTCTCATATAAAAAATGAAAAAAGATCCGACGTACACAATGCTTGCGCTTTTAACGTGTTTGTACTTAAAAACGTATGCTTGCCTGAGTATAGGCAAAATTTCTTATTTTTTTTTTATTCTGTCTTGTGACGATTATTGTTTTATTTGTTTATTTTTCATTTCACTTAATCGAATTGATGCATCTCGAGATAAAAATTCACGGATGCTCATCGTTTCACTAAGAACTTTAAATATTAACGTTGATAAATATACATATATATATATATATATATATATATATATATATTTATAAAATACAAGGTATTAATATATTCGCAGAATAACTTTTGAAAATTCTAGAGATTCAAAGCAAACACAAGTTGGTATACAAAAATGTAAATTGATAATAGAGATAGAGATTTTGAATATGTATAATGTAATAAATAAGTCTCAATCAATATTTTTATTTATATATCAATTTTGTGTTTATTTCGACTTCTAAAATCAATTTTTCAAAAGTGTTTCACGAGTTATATGAATACTTTGCATTTATATTATTCGTTTTGTAATTCGTGCGGTAACTTCTTATATCAATGTGTATATATTTCGCAAACGTGTAAAATGTTTACTGAAATGCTTCACCGATAAATCAATGATAAATTCGCGTTTTCTTCGATAAAAAGTATAAAAAAGTATATAAAAATTGTGTCGTGTGGAATATCATTGCATTCGATACAATCGCCTTATAATTTATATAAAAAGTTGTTCCAAAAATGTCACTTCTATAGATTAGTATAATGTGATGAATTAAGAGCAATTAAAATATTAAAAAGTTAAATGATTTTATAGGCAAGTAAGAACGCAATTAGCATAGAAAGATTGTTTAAGAGAAAGCAGTAGGCCACGAGTGAAAATTAATGGCATAAATTATCTTAAAAATTAAATATTCAAATACAAAAAAATAAAAAAAAAAATTCGATATCTTCAAAAATGGTTGAATGAAAAAATGAATGAATTTTCTTCGCATCTTATTATTAGGCGATTTAGACATATTAATATGTGTATAATTGTGCTATATTGTGTCATTTTAATGAAAACAAATGATTAACAAGCAGTAATAAATATGGCAATGATGATCTTGTTTTAACTTTCTAATTTGTATGTACTTATACATATGCAATAATTATTTACGGAATAAATTAACGGAAAATAATAATAATTATTATTATACATGATATACAATATAAAATCTTGGATATAAAAGATATCCCAGATTTTAATTTTTATTTTAGAGAAATCAAGTATAAAAAAAATTATATTACTAGTATTTTGAAATTTTTATAAAAAAGTCTATATAATAAAAGAATTAGAAATTAGAATTATAATAGAAAAATAGAAAAAGAAAAAAAGTTTTTATAAAATTGTTTTTTCTTTTTTTCTTTTTTTTTTACGATTATCGAACCTCAATAAGATTATAAAGTAATGCAAGAAATGTGATATAAGATATGAAGCGATTTCAGAAATCTCTTATCATATTTCTCAAAAAAGATAATTGATAGAAAAAATAAAGATAAGATAAAAAAAGAATTTAATTTTTTGAAATAATTATTAAAACTTTATAAAAAATATTTAATTATTTAATTATTATATTTACTTTATAAAAAATATTTAAACTAAAACAAAAAATTTGATGATAAGAGATAGAGAAATAACAACAAAATAAGAGAACAAAATATAAAAATAATAAGCGGTGTCTAAAAAAAAGACGAAGAGAATATAGAAAATATAGAAGTAATTATTACAGAAATATTATACGGCATACTGCCATACCAAATTTGAAGAAAAATTGAAAAAAGTAATAAGCAATGAAAAAATTTTTAGAATTAAAAAATTTCAATTAAGAAATCATCGTAAATGAAATATATCGTAATAAAATAAAAGTATACAAAATTTTATAAGTAAATTCTTTGAAGAAAGGGATAATTATACATATTTTATATTAAATGTAATATTTTTTAACAATATCTTCATTGCGCAATATCATTAATATTTTGAATATTCAATACTTGTAATATTTAAATTATTTAATGAAAATATTTTTAAATATTTTTCAATTATTAATATAAATGAATTCCTTCTTTATCTTCTTTTTATTGTTTTTTTTGATTTCAACATGAATTTTTATAATGCTGAAAACATACTATTTATGAATTCTTCGATTTTAAGTTATATTTTGTCCTCATCTTATTTTATTCATATTATTATTTTTATCATTCGTGAAATTGATGAGAAATATTAAATGTGCAAATGTTTATAGTTATAAAAAGATGTGTTTTTTCTTTTCATCCTCTTTTTTTTATTTTTGTTTTGATTTCCCAAAAATTTTGAATATCTTTGCAGGAAAACTCTTTATGGTTTCCGGTCTCTATCAATTGTACTCATAAAATGACGACCTTTTGTAAAATCTTATGATTAAACATATATAAATGTTTATGATTCTTATCAAAAGTTACCAAACGATTGAGCCACTTTTCTTCGAGTTTATCATATAAAATAAGAATGCATATATCGAAATATGCACGTTAATACTTAAAAAAATGTAAAATGTTTCTAGAAAGAGTCTCTTAAAAAGAATGATTTTGTTTTCGTTTTTCTCAATTTTCTACACACACTCAATTTACCAATGAGCTTACATATGTTATTGAATTGCAAAATTCTTATATAATGGCAGTTTGCATGTGTTTGGTACACCGTTTGATTTTACAATTCCGTCACAGCATACAAATTGGGATCGCTACCCTGTACTTGACTCAACGTCGCCACCGTTGATTTGTTTTCTTGTCTCGATTGTGCTCGATTATATGTTCCATACATATTTGGTACGGCATTATTTTGTGTAGTACCATTGAATTGATTCCTGGTGAAATTTCTATCCAGCGTTCGTACTTGATCTTGCACTTGGTCTTGAATCCGAATATTTGGTGTCTTATTTCGTACCAGGGATCGAAATTGATTCATATTAGTCTGTGAACGAGACTCAAATTCCCAGGTTGGTTGACTGCTAGGATTTGGTGGTAATGGACGATTCTGATTCCAAGCAGGAGTCGGACCTCTTTTAAGATTCGCTAGATTTTTTGGGTCTAGAGTCTGTGTTTTGCGAGAATCTTGGAAAGTTGCCAGATGAGCAGGTCCATGAGAATTGTGAGACAGGGTACCGGTGAAGGACGCCACACTTGGTGTCCAAGGTGGTTCTCTACCTATGATTTTAATATGAAATTTACATTAAAAAAATTTGAATTTAGAATAATATATATTTTAATTGCTTTTCTTAAAGAATAATGAAATTACCGGGCCCTGCGGGGGCGTGCCCTCAGTAAAAGTCACTAGATTCAAGAGTTTTACATTGCTTGCTCAAAGTCGCGTACTGGCCAGGTTGATCTCCGAGCCCAGAACGGTGCTCAGCTCGTCCACCTGTCGATTGCTGATTATGCTGAGACGATTTGTGATCCCCTCCTCCTCCGCTCCCGTTAATACCCCCACCTCTGTAAATAGCAAATCGAAACGAACAAAGTTGCAGCATTATCTTTCTCTCAGATGGTTCTCTGATGTCTAATTCCTATCAAGAAAACTTTGTATCATTCGTTCATTTTGTAAAATAATCTAAACACGAACGCTATAATAAAAACACGCGCAAAAGCATACTATCGCTAATATTTCCATAAATAGAAAAAAAGAAAAAAAGAACGAATTCTTTTTCTTGCTTTAAACATCGATTAGAGAAAGTAATTAAAAAAGTTAAAGAATATCTATGAGTATTGAAGAAAATTTGAATTGCCAGAATGCTATAAAAACACCAAAGAGAGAAAATCATTGTACAGTTATTGTCCTGAGAAACAATTATTTTGTTACTATATTTAATTTATGATTGTTAACTAATTAATTTATCAAATAAATAAATTTATTTTCAAAAATAAAAGATCAATAACTGTACTGTATTATTTGCAGTATTGCCACCAGAGTGTTGTATACGATTAAAGCAACATTTACACTTAGAATAGTTTCTATCGACATAAACAAGTCATATTATAAATCGTAAAATGAATTGATTCAACACACTGGTAAAAATAGAAAATCAATACATCTCATAAAATCGAATAAAAAATACATCATCTATATAAAGCAAATGATCAAATAAAGATTTGATGAAATGTTTAATATCTTATTAATATTGAATAATCAATTTTATGATTCATCTATTTCAAACTTTATATTTTTTTTACATCAAATCTTTAATTTGATGGCAGTTATGAAAAAGGATCGTATTTAATTTTTTCTTGCATCAATTTAATATTTATAGAGCAATTATAAATAATATAAAATCGTAAAATTAAATTCCTTTTTCAATTGCATCATAAAATTAGTTTGAGAAACTGACGCATTTCACGCAGCTGTTAACGTCCAACCTTTATCGTATTATGTTTTCTACCCTATAATTATGTTGTTTATTAAATTAAAAAGCAAGTTTAATAATCTAGTTTCATTTGAATTCATCTTTTTATTATTTGCTATTTATCTTCTCCAAATTAACTTAAAATCGTGTTTATGTCAGTTTTGTACGATAAAAGTGAACCATAGCTAATAAATAAAACTGAATAAAATTTCATGCACAAACTTTAACATGCTCTCGTGCAGCTGACGTGCTCGAGCAGTCGCAGTAGCGTAGGACGGCGGGGGCGGCGTTAGCAAGAGAGGCTGCTTAATGGTATTTTGAGTGCCATGAGCATTCGGATAAAATACAGAAGGGGCTGTAGGCGGGTACGACCCTTGGCCTCGAAGGGTTCTAGCTGCTATCGCCTGTGAGGCTGCCGATGGCGGTAGATAAGGATCCTGCTCGTCAACTTGATGGTAATCTCTTCTAGAACAAAGCCCCCGTTAATCATACACTGCGCATTACATCCTTTAAGTACATTGACCATGCATACTCACCGTTTTCGAATGTAGATCCAAGTATGAGAGTCCACTCCTACTAATACTGTGAAAAACAATCCTGCAGCTAGGCTGGCCAATAGCATAAAGGTTAATCCGTATCTGGGGAATTTCAAAAATTTTTGAGTATCTTTTTAATTATATTCCTAAGAATTAATAGTATTCAATATTTTGCGAATGTCAAGAAAACATTTTATATAATAATTTACGTAATTTTCAATTATTTACTTCTTTGCAAACATAATCATCACTATTAAACTTTTATTATGTATTCATTAAATAGCGAATTAAAAATAAAAATATACTCACAATCCTAAATGACACAAGCTCTTCGCGGCATGAACATATTGTTTATGAAGTGGCTTGCAATCAAATAATGTGGTCAAGCCTGACATAAGTTTGCTCACAGTGTTCACATCAATCGAAAGGCTATTCAGTTTTGGTTGTAATTGTTGTTCTTTAAACAATTCTAATGCCAATCTAGTCACAGTATTCATATTTTCTTTCATATTGCTGGCCGCGATTTGGCCATCGTTTAATTTATGGCTGAATGGATTGCTGCGTGTATTCTCGCAATGTGTATAATATGAAAGAACTTCGGAGGCTAGGGTGGACGGTACCGCTCTGGTTAAATAACCGTCTGGGGACACGCAGAGATCACCTAAGGCCACTGAAGTCGCGAGATATAGTGAAGCCATCAGCCAAGAGACTATCACTGCAAATAGACCGAATACGGAGAATCTAAAACAAAACAAAAATAGTTATTCAAATAATTATAATTTAATTTATTTTCATGCTTAAAAATTTCATTTTACATTTGTTTAAATCGATTATTGACTTAATTAATCGTAAAATATCGTTATAAAAAATTTAATTCAAATAAATGTTTAGAAATATATACTAAAACTTAATGTCCTTAAATAATAAATAAAATATATTTTTAAAAATCTTACATATTTCGAATTTAATATCTTGAAATCATTTCTGAAATTTATTGATTTGAGTTTACCACCTTCCCGTTTGTAAAAAGAGACAAAAACGTGATTTAAAAGAGTTGAATCCAGTTAGAGAAATCCGATTTTCGCACGGTTTTTGCAAATGATGAAAAAGAAGCACATACGTTATGAGAACGCATCTGGAATGTCGTGCAACTCCGACGACTAGCACCACGCAGAGAACGAGAAGCGCGCTGAGAACGGCCATAGTGATGGGCCACCTTAATTGCTCTATTTTCACTGCCATCCCGATTGCGCCGGCCAGGCTGATTCCACTCAGCGGTTTTCGAATTTCGAAGCTCCGGTTCACGGCGATGTTCGTGTTCTGCTTCATGCTCTGCAGCGCAGTCAACAGCAAGCCGAGCATGGTTTTATTGCTGACAGGGGCATCGAATTCATCTCCCAAGGCAGTCAATTGTGGTTGTATCTTCTTCTTTAATATAATCTCGATGGTGTCGGTCTTGAAAAATAAATATATAGTATGATTTGAAGTATTGATGTGATATTTTAATTAAAAATATTTACTTTTTTTATTTTTTTTTATAACGATTAAATAATTTAAGCAATCCTGTTATATCAATATTTCTAAGATGTAATTACTAATTCACTTTCTGAGTTCTTTGAAAATGAAATTAATCTCGTTTACTTGCGATTCGATTAAATTAAGTCCGTTAGATAAAAATCTTTAATTAAAAAATGGAATCCTTGGTGGTTGGAAATCGGATTATTTATCATAAGATGGATCTTCTTTCAGGCTTATTTCAATTACGCTTGTCCGCAAACTTCTCGCTATTCTTGACCTAAATTAAGAACGTGAGTCAAAGTACATTTAAACATAAAAAATCTAGACCGCAAATTAATTATGAACAAGTCACAATTTTACTTTTTTTGAGTAAAATATGAAAATGAATATATGAATATATGAAATAAATACTAATAAGCAAAATGAAATTCCATCCGAGAAGTAATATTAGAGAACATCCAGGACAAGATTTACGACATTAAAGATCAGAAGATAAAATATTTAAAATATCGAATTCCTAAGATTATCTAAAAAATTAATGTCAATTTAATATTCTAATATTAAAATTCGAACACAATTATCATAAATATCTTTTTCACAATCATTTCAAATTTTTCCTTTATCAGAAATTCAATATATTGATTATTATATTCAACAAGTAATCAATCATATCAATTTAATTTAAACGAGGTAAATATAGATGCTATTTGAAGCGTATTTAATTGGAAGAAGAGAACATTAGAAAGATCAGAATATATAGGCATATTTCGTAAAGCAAACCAACCTGATTCCGTACACCCATGAGAATACCATCGACGTTCATCGCGGCGGCCACCAATTGCACCAAACCGTTGTGCACATCGTCGTTACCGTAGAGGCCGACGGCAACAGCTCCACTGCAAAGCAACGCCAGGATGGCCAGCGAACACTTCAGCAGGGTTATCGACCTCCTGGGGCGCGGCTTCCGGTCGCAGCATCTCGTTACCAGGTAAACCAGGAGCACCAGCAACGTCAGGATTAACCAAGCTGCGGGGATACTTCCAAGTATCCCGAGGCTCTGTTAATTAAAGTTAAACGTTAGTTATCGGAGTGCATTTTTAATGAAACTGTTCGTGTACGCCACCTTTTTATCTCGATTTTCATCTACATCTTTATCTCATTTCAGTTTTTCTCCCACGTCTTTATTTTTTCTTCTTACTCCTTTTCTTTATCTTTTTAGCAATTAACGTTCAAGTCGAGTTTCTTTTGACGCGACCGGAAATCTCGAAGTTTAATTAAAATTAAAATCATCGCAATGCGCCTTTTTTTTTCTTTTTTTCCTAAAATTTCCTGCGCTAATGATTTCCTGCTAGAGATCAGGATTAACCAAGAGACCAGAGAAAAGCTTTCCTAACCACTTTCCAATCAATGCTTATTTATAGCTATCGTTCATGTTCACTGCACCGTTAATTAAACTTGCCTAAAATTCGATTTGCCAAATACAAAAATTCCAATGGCTATGGAACATGAATATTGTATCTCAGAGGGCACTGTGATACAGTGCTACCTAACCTAAAAGAAATACGACGCGAACAAGTATTTCCAGTAATTACGCGGGATAAGTTAGATCTTAATATTTTCTTAATTTTCGAGCTTGATAATGCGAATATTGAATCAAATCGCAACTGATTTCACCGACAGATGCATCTGCTAATCGAATCAACGATTATATTTGATTAGAACATATTATTAGTGGTGCTATAGACTCGATTTGTTGTTTTTAATTGTGCTAATTAACTACTAACAAACATGTCGAAAAGTGATCTGTATGTCTTGCGAAAATTGTCATCCGCGCATGCGCATGATTCACGAAAAATGAGTCAGTCACGCGATCTAAAATGATCGTTGAAAGTATCGCAAGTAAATATTTTTGCTTTTTTTTCATTTTATTCCATTGAAAAACTAATAAGAACAACTTAAAAAGTTATTTTTTCATCAATTTTAGTGAGTTTAAAATATATTGTTAAGAATATTTTTATGACATTTTAAACAAATTTTCTTCAACATTTTCTTATATATATAACCTATAAATTTTAATTAGGTTAACTGTCAAATTATAGTTATAAAAGTTATAAAACAATATATTTATATAACAAGTAATTGAGTTAGTCATTTGTAATTTTAATGTAGCATAGATTTTTCTATATTTGTTAGAAGAAAAATATGCAACAAAAATAAGTATTTTTAAAAATATATTTTAATTTAGATTATATCATATCAATCAATTAGATGATATCTTTTATTTTTTTATCTATTTCTCTATACTTTTATTATATTTTTCTTTCCTTTTATCTAATTATCTTATTTATTAAAATATAATATAAAATAAAAATTAATAAAATTTTGATTGAGTTTGATGTAAAGAAATTTATATTTTTTATTTAAGCTTGAATTTAATATCAATCTTATTAAAAATCAATCTGGGACTCTCAGAAAGATTTTAAATTATCAAAATAATAAAGATCGAAGAAACAAAATATCTTAATAATAAGAATTGTTTTCTAGGCTCGAGCGATTCATTTCACATGATATATTATATAGATATTATTATATCGACATGTTTCGACAAAGATAAATTATATCATCATTATTTTATGTAATTGCTTCTATCATTATTAGTATATTAAACGTCTATATCGGTCAGAGGAAGATGGATTAATGTGACCCGAAAAGCGCGATTCCATATTCCGTTTCGCTTCAAAGATATTATATCGCGCGTGCTCGACGTCGCAGCGTCTGACGAAAATTTGATTTTTCTGTCGTGTTACTCAAAGGCCTGCACGCCATGGGGTCAACCACCCTCGTAGCTCGCGTGCCACCCCGTGGAACCTGCTACATCGACCCATGTATGTACATATTGTATTCATTATTTACGCGATATCGATAAACTTCGCCTATAATTCTCGACGCGTGATTTCTCGAGAATCGATCCTTGCCGCCATTTTTCAACGTGTAACGGCCATTAATAGTGAAATTTTAACATCGAAAGTATTAAGTAATTTCTGCATCGAAATTGTGGATAAGTTTAAAAATAATTTTCTAAAAACAGTTAGGAAAATTATTATATTATAAAATAAGAAAATGAAAAATTTTGATTTGTTCTGGTTTCAGATTATTAAATCGTATTTCGATGAATTTTGTCTATAATTCTTCATACTTGTGATTTTTCGTGAAAAATTCTCTTTGTATTTCACTATTTGCAATATCTAATAGTTATAATAATTATAAGACTGATAGGTAAGACTTTAGAGATTTATTTTTATTTCGAATATTTGAAATCTTAAAACAGGGAAATGAAAAAACAGAGAAAGATTTTAATCTGTCAATTAATTAAGTTATAAAATTAGCTATTAATAACTAATTAATTTATTTAATTATTTTTCAGATGCCAATAGAGTTAGATACTATATATTATTTCAAAAGAAACGATACTAAAAATGGATAGATGTTATATCTATTTCGAATATTTCAAACCATGCTTTTGAAAAATAATTGCTAAATTGATAAAAGCGATGTGAATCAAAGGGAATCGAGTACAATAGTTTCGAAATTTATAAGGAAGATATTGTCATCTAGTGTTTCATCTCTTTTTTAAATTTATGACTGGAATTCTTTGAAAAAATTTTTATTGTTTCACTTTATATTTTAGGAAGTTATAAAATCATTCAGAATTTAACAAATAAATATTAATTAATATTTCAAGTCAGAAATCAATCAAATATAACATGATCGATGATTGATTGTTGTTTGTAAAAATTTATATCGAAAAATACAAACATCAAAAATAAATCAAATTACAATTGATTTACATTGCTCAACGTATTGTATACATGATTGACATACTGTTTGACAAACTCATGTTGGAAGTTATTTTACAATGAATCTGACTTTGAAACAAACAAATATTAATATATCATTTAAATCTAGAATATCATTTAAAACTATTAAATAAAAAATATAGTATAGAGAAACTATATTCATAGAACTATATTCTGAGATAAATATTATGTGATATTTAGGAAGAAAAAGCAGAAATGCCATCTCGAAGATTGAGAAACGGAAGTCATGAGCCACAATCGTAGGAAGATATCTGTTCCTCACTTTTGTCGAGAACTTCGCCGACAGTTTGGAGTAGTTGAAAACGAATGAAACAGGGACGCTCGTGTAAATTTATGGAAAATCTTTCTTCCCCTGGTGCGTTTTCCATCCGGCGACGGATACGTTTCTCTTCCAAACAAACTTCATCTTGCGTCGAACGGAATTTCACTCGTAAGTTTGTTCTACAACCGGAAGAATCGAACACACCCGATTTTCCTAGAATAATGCAATCTCTTTTTGATAATAACTTTAAAATTTTCACGACAAACTTTTAAAAAATCAAAATCCTAAGAAAAAAGAAGTTTCTTTCAAATCGATTTCCGTTTATTTCTATCTTAAACCAAAAAGTAACTACGTATATTAGTTATATCTAAACAGTCGCAGAATAAATTCAATGGAAGAGCCAAAAGTGCTTAAGACAGACGTTTAATTGTTCTCGTTAAATAGTTTGGGAAACAGGCGAACGACTGATCGAAATTCGAGGATTGAATCGCGTTTAAACAGGAATTCCCTGTTTACGGAACGTGAACTGAAGACGGTCGTTGCACCTACTGCGACGCAAACTCTAGAATAAATCCGGAAGAGCGCTCAAGATTGAGAGGAAAGATGAAAAGGAAAGACAGAGAGAAAGAGAGAGAAAGGAAAGGAAAGGGTGTGCAAAAAGAGCGGAACTAAAACTTCACGGGACTGAGTTGTCTAGGGGTAGTATGTAAAATCGCAAATGGATTCTCTTTCGAGTCTCGCGAACTTTTGAAAGAGTAAATACGGGCTTACGGCTATCCTCGCATCGTTTCAGAAAACGCGTTACTTCTTTTGTCTTTTGCTCGCGCACTCGACACTTTTTACCCTACGCTACAAAACTACCTTCGAATTTGGATGGACGAGTTCCTAACTGTGTTTGGACCACCGTATCGTTTGTTTCGTGTTGCGACATAATGTACATGCTTTGCATTTCACGTTCACACTATTAGTCCACATTCATAGAGGCGTTTTGTGTTCTTTTCATTTTCCACGTCCGTAACAAAACGTGGCTATCGCTTTTGTAAATTTTTCGAATGCGTTTATTTTTGTGGCCGGTGAAAAGGAAAAGAGAGAGAAACTCGTCTTGAACAATGCTCAATGGAATTAGTAGGAACATTTGTTGGTAGTCAGAAAAGCTTGCTATGTTTCTGGTAGATTAAATACGCTTTTTATGTATATCGAGAAAAAGACTTATTTCATTGAGATAATCATGATGTTCTTGGAAATCTTTGAAAAAATTTTTTATTGATAAAAATGTTGATTTAGAAATATCTGCTATTTAAAGTGAACCACGTAATTTATTTTATATAGTAGTTGTTAATCTATTAACATCGATTTCTATTAATTTTATTAAATATATAGAAAACAATTATATTTTATTTTAATTATCAAACATAAATACATTAAACGGATTTTATATATAGAATAAGGATAGAATAAGAAAAAAAAAAAAAGAATGTTTCATGACGATGAGATTTGACACGCATGAAATTAATTACAGAATCTTCCACGGTTAATCTTGATCGATAATACCCCTATTTGCACGTATATTAGCTTAAACCTCTATGGTATGGTAATTCTTTAAATTGCGACAGCATAATTAAGTCGTGTCATATTACTTGCTTGTTATGCTAATCTGAAAATAGAATGAACGAAAGAGGGTTACTAGCAGGGTCGTTGTACCCAGGATTTTCTCCGATTTCTTTTAAGACGTTTGTAGTACGTGAGATACCTTTGAAATAAAAATCCTCTGAACTAAAGTGCAGCGCCTTCCTTTAAGGCAGTCACGCACTTTGGTGCAAAGGTCAATACTTTTTTTTTTTCTTATTTCAAAACATCATGGGAATTGCCTATATAACAAAATATATGTACATATTGTTGAAAAATTTACATAGTGATAATTGGTATAAGAAATAAAATTTAAAATATTTAAAAAAATGCATACATTACAGATTGTTCATTATGTCATATTATAGATTTAAAGATTTAAAGAAAGTATAAAAGAGATAAGAGATGATTAATGAACATTCAAATCGGAGATTAGAAAACAAAATGACGAAAAATATGACAAAATGCCATTTCATGATTTAATTACCCGGTGCCATTACAGCAGACGCGTCGTGAAATATTTTCAAGCAGCAGAAACAATAGCTGGGGACCCAATTACCAGAGTTCGTGTTGCGTCGAGAGTGCTCAGACAGGCGTTTCCTCAAGGCTTCTCCTTCGCCGACTACCTACCCTACCGACGCATGTAAGAGCAATATGTGTATGCCAGTTAAGTTTCGCACGTTCTCGACATCACCAATATACTTATAGGGTGTTCGGATAAAATAGGTAAAAATTAAAGAAATTAATCCAAATATAAAAGTATGCAAAAATAAATTTTAACTTTTATTTGTGTTTGTCTTTAAAATTACTGTTTAAATTTTCTATTTTATTTCGTTATCCTGTAATATTTGAATAGAGCAACTATTCGTGATCGTTTATAATTCTTTTTTTTCTTTTTATTTTTCAGTTGAATATATTATAATCATTGTCATTATTAAATTTAAAAATATTCCAAGCCATGTCAGTAGCCGAAGGTAATTAAGAAAAATAAATATTATAAAACAAAGAATATTCATGTTGTTTTATTTGATTGTACGTATGGCAAAAGTAGTTATATTCATCTTAATTTACGGAAAAATGGAAAATGATAAAAAAATAATGTATAAAGTGATATATAAATAGAAATTATGAAAAGAAAAAAATTAAACTGAAAGAAAAGAAAAAATTAAATATTCACCGGTTGACTGAAGCAAAAAAAGCAGCAATAAAGTGATGGAAAGAAGAGTAGAAGGGTAGGGAGGAATAACAGACAAAAGAGGAAGCGAAGAAAAACTAGATAAGAGATATAACGACACGAGGAAAACCGTTTCCTTTAAAAAAGATTGAAAATGAAGGGAAAAATACGACTAATGACAAATTAAAACCGGAAACAGGAAATATTCTGTATGCAATAATAAAAGCGTAATTCACAATCGTTATCGATATAAACATCTTCATTAACCCCCAAATATTTATTTGAGAATATTATATAAATCAGTTTTATTCATTCAATCTTTTTTTAATGATTATATTATATATAAAAAAATTGTGAAATTAAAAAAAAAGAACATTCATTTAAATAAACATACACGTACGTTAACACATTAACACATTATGCACATCAATTACTTTGCAAAATGTCGAAACTCGTAAAACTTGACCCAAATCAAGATGAAAGATTATAAAAATTTTATGTTCGTGAACACTCGTATAATATTAACGTTCCCGAAACACGTGCTATTTTCTCCTCTTGGTTTCGTTAGCCTGCACCTGCCGGTATAATAATTGGAGGAAGCACATTCGTGTTTTCAAATGAAAAAAAAAAAAAAAAAAAAAAAAAGAGAAGAACAAACTTGCTGAGCACCGCTGCGCAAACTGCTTTCCAGACGTCTCGAAAACGAACGACAATCGAATTGCTCGAAAGCAACGAGATATCCGTCTTGATTCCATAGTAATAAGTTGCAGTGCCCTCGACATCTGCAACGAAAGATGTTGTGCCAGGCGATCGTGCTTCTTGTCGAGAACTACGAGGAGCACGATACTTTTGGAGTGGGGTAAGTAGTAGATGGTGGAAAGAGAGAATAGCACACGTTTGCAGCGATGGGAAAAGACTAATATCGAAATGTGAAATACCGATATTGTTTTATTACCATCGATATTTATTGAGATGAAAATATAGAATATTACTACTGATATTTTATCAACACATAAAAATATTATTAACACAGAAAAATTTTATTAATTTATTGGTTCCATTTATTTTGTGCTCATTTAATGATATAGAAGTTGATAAAAAAAGAAATAGAAATACTTGACTTATTCTTCAAGATTTTAAAAAATCTTAAAACATATAATATTATAAAATAATTAAACTTGATTGAAATACATTAAATGGATAGCCAATATTTATTTTTAATCGTGAAAATTTCTAAAGAAGTACGAAGATAGAATAATAACGGAATAATTTGATAATTAACATCGAAATATCGCGTTAGCTGTGTTTAAACATTATTCGAAGTGTCTTGAGCCCATCACTAGTTAGCGGTCTGACGTTTCGAGCCCGTTAAAGCCCACACGTTGCCTCAGGCGTATTATACGAAAGCCTTTGTGCATTGTTTGAGCTTTCCCGGTCATTGTGCTTTCCACTTACACACAGCTTGGATTCTCGTGCACTCGTAGCATCCAGCTGCGTTTGTCCTCGTCCTTTTCCTCCTCATTTCTCATCCCTTTCTCTATCTTTCTTTATCTTTCTTCTCTCTTTTTGTTTACCCTTCTTTCTCATTCCCCTCCACTTCGCTACGGAGTATCGGATGATTCTCATCTCGATATAGCAATTTTTGCCGTCTTTTGGACAACCGTCTGGACAGGATCAGAAACTGAGAACATTTTGACAAAAGGGAGTACACCGTTTCATTTGGATACTCATTCTTTGGGCCAAGTCACCGTGATTCCTACTGTTTTCGTCGAACAAAAATAAAAAAATAAACTAAATGGAAATATCATTTCAAATGATTCTCACGAACATTTGCAAAAGAATTTAATTCAAAGAATTAATTAAGTTTAATTTTGCAAAAGAATATTGTGCAATCTCTTTTTGTCGAACGATGTGAGAAGGTTAGGTGATTCGTTCTCGATTCATGCACGTGTGCGATAATCAATAAAATACGCGGGGAAGAGAGAGGAAATAAAAGGGGAAAAAAAAGTTCGATGAATCGAGAATCGAACACCGTGTAATTTCATCCGAGTTCCGGCTTGGATGTCACAGCTCCGGCCTCAGTCAGTTAATTAGTGGAATTTGAAAGACAATTTTTTACAAATAGCACGATATATTTCCATATGATTATAAATTGTATATTAATTAATATTCGAGATAAAAGATTAAATTAATACGATTCGTCAAATTTGATGTCTTCGCACATATATTCTGTTCAAGAGATCAAAAAAACTTTTAAAATCCACCGTAAAACAATTATTCTAATTAACGAAATAAAATCCTGTCGAAACAGTACTTCAGGAGATAAAAAGTATAATTTTCCTCCAAAATATTAATTTTGGAATACAAATTTTAAGATTTCTATTAAATTTTACATAACTTTTGCAAAAGCAATTTTTAAATTCCGTTATTTTAAAATAACTCAAAATTTTGTTGTTACGATATTGAATTGAAAGAACGATTAAAAAAATATTCAAATTCAGCAAAACAACATTCCCATTTATTTGAGAAACGAGTTCAACGCGTACAATCTATTCAACGAATGCTCGGTTTGGAAAGCATTGCCAAAGAATCTCTTCTTCCTTCGGGAGGCAGTATCGAGGGACATTTTACGGGAAATCAACGAGAATGCTTTGTACGTTGGCCAAAAAGGAATCGAGCAGGAATTGCTTCCAGATATTGACGTAACTAGCAGAATTCAGTGAATTGCTATCACGATCCTGTTAATCGAACGACATGCGATTTATTCCGCTGACCCAGCTAAAGCTTACACATAGCGACATGGACACGATTCGCGCATTGTTGTTGGTCGTTGATAAATTGTCGTTGAAAACCAATAAAATCACGGCTCTATATATTATTTCTGCATTAATGAATCAAGTTTTCAGATTCGAGTAGTTAAAACGATATTCTTTGAACTTTGTTAATTTTCATCGATCGATGCAAAAATATTTCTTATACGCTTTATCTTTATCGATTTTTTCTTTTGTTTTATACCGATATTTTTTATGAATTCTTTTAATATCATTTCGCAATCAAATCGTAAATTTTATTTCTAATGCTAGTAAACTATAAACTTCAATATAATAGGATGCATTGTATAATTAAATCTTGATTTTGTTTTGTTTACAATATTGTAAAACAAAAAGGAAACGTTATATGCATTATTATTTACCTCGAGATAGATTTCGGAATGTGGATTAAAGGTGTTGTTGACCGAGTGGAGAGAGACGTTGAGGTGCGGCAGGCCGTGGAAGACCTTAGCGAGCTGCGGTACCGTGTACTGTTCGGGAAGCTGCTGACCGCCCGCCATTTTGGAGAACCCTTGTCTGCCGAAAACCCCGTTGAAGAGCTCCTCCTACTCGTCAAGACATGCTACGAGACCTGGAACAGAAAGAACGGGTTAAGAATTGCTCCCGGCTTTTTCTTCCTCCAAGATTTCTGTGACTTTACGCGTACCAGGAGAAAGAAAATAAACATCTTCGTTTCTTTACTCTTTTTAAATAATATTCATATTAATATCTAGAATATATTAGATAGAAAAGAAATAAGTCAAATTTTAAAAAAGAATCAAACTCAAAACGAAGCGAATTGAATTACAATTCGATTATTTTTCATCAAGTTAGAATATTTCAATCTTCTTACAAAGATTGATAACGGATTCGGCCAAGTGTTCAAATATTTATGAACGATACTGTACGTTAAAAAAAAAAATATCGTGTCCTTTGTCGCGCTCTTTGGACAGCGAAAAAAGGGGAAAAAAGAGAGCGGCCTGTGATGGATCAGCAAATCAAGTGAGAAAATCGATTCTGCACGAAAGAAAGAAACCTGTTATATTTAGAGCGGACCGATTATCCGATTTGGCGTGTAATTAAACCGGTAACCGCCGTGCAAAAAGGAGGATCCAATTCTGTCTGGATATCGTTTAGTTTTCGAATCGAATCGAATCGAATCGAATCGAACGAAGGCACGGATCGAACCGTGCCCTCGACGCGGTTTAATCTTTGTCAGATACGTCGACGTCGTCCGATGATGTGCTCTCTTTATCCTCCCTCTCGCCCCCGCACTCTTTGTCACTCCTTCGAAACGCTTTGCCAGGCCTGATTCAATTACGCTCGAAGCGCCGTTGTGGAAGCAACGAGCGCTTAATTAATGAAATCTGTGCCAGCTGCTCCATTCCGCTCTCGTCGGCGACGATACCCGACAAGAACATGTGCCTCTTCCGGAAGTATCTCGAGATTCTTTTTAACGAATTATTACCCCTCCCCGGCGGCTATATTCGAATGGAATCACCGAGGATCTCCCCACCGGACATCGGTTACCTCCTTTTGTCTACCTCCGTTTCCACCTCCTCTTCTCCGCGAGACATTTCTTCCGTTTGCTTTTCATCTTTTTCTAGTTTGTGTTACCGTGAGGAATGTGGATTTTTATTAGCCAAATCAAATTTTTATGAACGTGAATAAAGAAATGGAGGTTAAATATCGTTAAATATCGAGATTTGCTTTATATTCTTTAAATATTGTAACGAGCACTTTGCACATTTTCCGTGTCATGTGCATTTTGTATATCTGTTATATCTGTAGTTTAATTATTATAATGTTATTATAATTATAATATATGTATATTAATAATTTTATGTCTATTAGCATATTCCATTCACAGCATTTATTTCAAGGTAAATACCTTTCTCAAGTACGCAATTGTTAATCAACCCTCTAAATCTCATACATATTTCCTGAACATAGAATACCACTCTCAGAAAATGAATTTATCATAAACAGTGGGTGTCACGAGCCACTCGAAATTGTTTGTCTTGCCAAAATTAAAGACAAAATTTAATAATAATTTCTCACCAACTCGAGCATTATAATATCTTGTTGAATCTACCATGTGAATCTAAAATGTGAAAATTTGACATTGTAACGAGGCAAAGATCGTAAACTGAAGAGATTGAAATTAGGCGAATTGGAAGTACGCACAATGGGGGAGAAATCTTTGATTACACAGCATCCTATATGCTGTGGCGCTTGATTTACATAACCGCCGGGTTCTATTCCTCCGTTCCATCCCTCTTTCGATCGCCACACCCACGCATACATCCCTTACACCTGTCCAATTCAACTGGCGAAACTTTCGAAACACAATTTTCCAAAGCGATGTGCCGCGAAATTTTGCATTCGAGATGAAAAGAAATACATCTTCCACGAAGATCTTTCCACTTGTGTTCCGTAGGATAAATTCGAACGAGCAAATGGAATATTAACATATCAAGTGGCGTAGAAAATTGATGATTTCCGGCAATATCCTCGGATACAGGTCGACCAGCTCTGCAACTGGAATCTTTTAGTTGCACGACATCGTCGATTGCAATCTTCTTATCTCGTTTTTCCTTCTCTTCTCGTTCCAGTGAAATATAACAGGATATGATCGTTTGAAGCAGAGAAAGTTGTTTTTTTTTCTCTCTCTTCTCAACGTGTATCAGAAGATTGTACAAAATTCTGATAGTCGAGGAGGAAGATTCGAAGAATCTTCGTGTTGTTTAAAAAAATTAGAACCTTCCACGGATCGGAGTTGAATCTATTCGATGTCCTGTGCACGATATAAATTGATTCCTTTCCTTCATTGCACGCCGTCATCAATTGTGTCGACCTCTTCCTACTTTCACCGTCTTTTTTTCCCCTCCTTGTTTTAGGAACGAATAGAAGAACGATCGATCTAAAGCGAAATATTTGCTTCCCGCAGACGATTGGATATCGATCTTGATCTTAATTTATTTAATCATAGATCGGTCTTTTCTATTACGTGAAATTTCTCGTTTCTTATGTTATTTAATAATTAAAAGACTTATTTTAATATCTTAACTTATTAAAAAGATAGAAATCTCGATATGTAAGTATTTTAATCAAAAATGTAAAGTAAAATAAATAGATAATTTCAACGTTAGAAGTAAAAAATTAAAAAAAAAAATCAAATTTTTCTTCTGTGATCTTGATAATATAATTACAAGAGAATAGTTAGCCTGAGAACGAAAGATTAAAAAGAAAAGATTGGATTATCTGATGTATAAGAAACGACCTAAAATAATATTCCGTAACCAATTACACTCTCTCCAGATTATAAAATAATCTCTTATCAAATTCAAGATTTTTTTTCAACATAATTATGAATACCCGAGAATTCTCTTTAAACTTAACTAAAAAAAAGAAAAGAAAAATTGAAATTTTCTTGCTTTCTTCTTATTCGATATATATCTTTCGAACTATCAACTTATATTTCCTAAGTTTAAAATTTTAACTTATCGAAATCGTGTCGACGCAATTTTAAACGATGATAATTGACACGATTAAGGATGAAACAAATTTTCTGAAAAATATATTATTTATCCAACCAAGAAGTATCCTCTGTTTCGGTGAAACGATCGGACACGAGCCTTACTTTGCATTCCAGGTCACAGCTCTTTGTCGTGGTCGTCGTTTGGAATTATAAACACAAGCCCGCAGAGAGGAGCGGGCTTTTTATACGAAATGGAGGAAAAAACGACGGAGGTAAGAGCAGAGGGAAGTTTGGTCCATTCTTGAACTTCCTCAGACCCGCCTCAGAACACCGTGGGAAAAGATCAGCTGCCGCATGCCGGCTTTAAACTACATTACACCTGGTCTCTCTCCGGACACAATGTCGGCCATTCCAGCCTTTTCTCGAGGCACGTCCTCGCCTCCATGTTATTTCGATATTTTCGACGGTTTATCCGTACGAATATCACGAGATAATACCTCTCTCCCCTCCCTCCTCCCTCGTTCGCCAATTTAAAATTGAATATTTTATTGAACAGACTCGATGAAATATTACGTTCTATCACAAGATTGTAGATTGGAGCCAGCATTATTCCCAAAAGGGATTAAGGATAATAGTTAAGTTGACTAACTTGATATCTGATTCATCGATATCCACAAGACATGTAGTTAGTCATGCAAGTTAATATAATAGATAAAAAATGAAAATCTTAGCAAAAAAATCGATGAAATAAACGAGGCACATATATATATATATCTATTGACAAAAACCAAGAAATAAGGCAATCTTCCGACACTTCTTCGAAAAGAAGAATGTTCTTTGATGCTTCACTTTCACTATAAATAGTACGATAGGTAAGGAAGGAAGGGTGAAAAATGTATAACTCGCGGAGCTTGCTCACAATATATACGTGGCGGGTTGCACCACAGGCTGCAATCACGGCCGTTATTGTGCGAGGTTGCTCTTTCGTGGTTCCCATAGGCCATGCAGAGGCAACCAGCTGCTCGAGTATGAAATTCTTCGGATCCGTCAGAGGCTGGATCAGCGGCGGGAGACAAGTGCACTCGTTCTCAGGTGGCCGCGCATACCGCCAAGATAGCGGCGGCACGCCGTTTGAATAACTTTGGCCAAACTATTCGCGCCGGCCATTTCTCCTCCGCGCACGGCGTAATTATTCGAACGGATACCATCGAGAGCCGAGAGTGATCCGGGAGCGGAGTTTAATCTTGGCCGGCTGCAAGGTCGCCGGCTGCTCGATCGTTCCACGATTCTGACGCACGAAGAGATCGTACGGTGATTTCGAACGGTCGATCGGGTTGTTCGAGGGGCATACCTTTTGGGTGACGAGGGAGGCCGGGTTTGCGTTTTTTGCGAGAAAAACGGTGGAAGATCCTTGAGTTTATGTACGCGGGAAGTTGTTGGCTGTTTGTCGTAAAATAAGATTAAGAATAGAAAGGATTATTATTTATGAATTGAATTATCTCTTAATTGAGAGGCGTAGATAATGCAACGCTCCAACGATAAAAGATTTTGAAACGCTTGAAGAATTTTAAATACGTTACTTGAGAGTTGTGTTATCTTGGCCAGTTTAGAAAGAGAGAAGAAAAAAAGTGATCCGAATTAGAATCGTGTTGCGTGAACATGGTGCATATGGTGATTAGATTAGAAACACGTGTTCGTTTGATTAAGAGCAATTTAAATTTAAACAACCTTGATAACCTTCTATGCTTAAGTCTAATAGATATAACAAATACTTATTACAAATTTAACGATTTTTTGAGTAAACGTTCTTTTTTTTTTTTTTCTTTTCTTTTTATTCCCCCCTATACAAATATTGCGATAAAACATGCCTGTCACTTGGAATTTCAAAGATATTTACAGAGGTTGATTAACTCTAGACACTTTACAACATCTCGACAAATATTGTCGTGTGCAATGGCGCCTAGCTCTCAAGATATTACTTACATATACATATATCTATTCACAGGAGAAGATTGACTCATGTCTCTGCATTCACGATCTCTATCTCTTCAATCATATATCCAATTCACCATTGATGATCTATGTATACGAGGTATGATTGTTAAATTTAA